CATAAATTGCCTCACTGCTAATTACTGATCCTTTATTCATTCCTTGACTATCACATGAGCACTGCCTGCTGTTCTACACTTTTCTCCATACTAGTGTCTAATGTATTGCTCTTTCCCATCTGCTACATTATAGAATGAATTAAATCTATCCTGTATCAACAAACTCATCCTTCTTAAAGCTTCCATAAAGTACCTCCGTTGCCAATTCTCCCAAGTGGCTGTACTACTATACATTCCCACCAGCAATATATGAGAGTTTTAGTTGCTTCACAGACTCATTAACATTTAGTTTTGTCAATCTTTTAGTTTTAACCATTTGGGTTGCTGTGAAGTATTATTTAAGTATGGTTTGTAATGTATGTTTTTCTGATGATTAATACATGTCAAGTGATTTTTTCATGTGGTTATTGGCCATATTTGGGTATATTTTTTTGTGAAGTATCTGGTTCCAATCTCTTAATTTTTTCCACCTTGTTGGAACACTCACTTTATTATTAATTGAATGAAATGTATTGGTGCCTAAGGTGCTGAATACTGAGGTATTCAAGGACTTTGTTAGAAGGTTTAGACCCTACTGGCCAATTCGCATGAAGGCTTTGTTTTATCTTTTGCCATTTGCCCAAGTCACTGATAACAGTTTTATTTGACAGCAAGTAGGCATATGAATATAATAAGAGATCCTGCTCCTTGGTCTGTTGTATTCACGTATTAAGAAGTTTGGAAAGCTCAGACCAGCAGGTGGCATAATGGCTATGTCGCTGGACTCCCATGTAGTCGACTGTGGTTTGAATCCTGGACCTGGTGGCTTAAACTCACGCTGGGTGCATGTGCGTATGTTACCAGGATACCGAGAGGAGAGTGGAAGAGAAGGGACTGAGGTGTGGCCATCCCCCCTGAGGGGTGATTTCTTGCTTTCTGTCTCTGTCTTCCTGGCAAGCACACACGCCCTATAACAAAAACCTCTCCAAAAAAAGTTTGGAAAGCTAATTAAGGCATTTCATTAATTAATAAAATTTATGTTTGTCTTCTCATTGTTGAATCTGAGTTATCTTCTGAATTTTGTTTGGTTCCATATCCTCAACTGCCAATTGCCCATATTAAATGTTCTCATATTATCTCTAATAGCACATTTAAAATCTAATTAGGAGGAGTCAGACAGTAGTGCAGTAGTAAAACGTTATCTCTTTTGTGTCCAAGGATCTCCCTAAGTATGCCAGGATATGCATGCCAGTGATTTAACTGAAACTGTGAGTGAATCACTGTGTCAGGACCCTGAAAGGGATGTTGTCTTTGTCCCTCTCACTCATGAAATAAATAAACTTTTAAAAATTCAATTTTTTTTTTTACACTGAAATGAGACCTATGTATTGGTCATACAATGATATTGTATCATACAATATTCTTCAATCACATTTTCCTTAAATTCTAACTCTTAGTGTTTGTTTCTTGATAGTCAAAAAAGACTCTTGGGAAGTGGCAGAGCTTAATTATTAACAGGCTGGTTCAAATGCAGATTCTGCCACTTATTTACTGTGTGACTTTGGACAAATTACTGAATCTTTCAGTGCCTACCTTATAAGGCCTTTCGGAGGTTTAAATAAATAAATCGAATACTTTAAATAGTATCCAACAAAAAGGAGTGCTCAATATCAGTAGAAGTTATTTTTAGAATTGGACATGCCTCTCGCTTAAAGTCTTTACTCATGATTCTAACAGCAAACATCTTAACTTAGGCATTCAGTCTTTCACAACTAAACAATTAAATGGGTCTTCTAAATGGTTTCCTTCCTCCTTCTATCCTTCAAACTACAAACCACTACTGGATTTATCTTCTTAAAAATGTCCTCACACACATTATCACCTTCAACGCATAGATGGTCACTGTTAACAAATAATCCTAGCTTCTTATCCTAATACTCAAGGTCTCCCACAGCTGTCCTTAGATCTGTCATGTACCTCATACACATATGAGCAAAGAAAGATTCAAAAAGGATTCCAAAGGCTATGTTGAAAATATGGGAGAAACCCACAAGCAACAATACAAGCACATAATTCAGGGAAATGGAGGCAAATCTAAACTAATTAGCTAAAAGAAGGAAAGCGGTTGTCTTTGAGGAGAGGAAATAGAAGTCAGGAGGATGGGAGACTGACTTTTTTGTATCAAACCTTTAAGAATTATTTGATCCTTTAACCGAGTATAGTACATGTTTAACTTTTTTTTTTGGAGAGGTTTTTGCTATAGGGCGCATGCGCTCGCCAGACAGAGAGAGACAGGGAGACGGAAAGTGAGAAATCACCCCTCAGGGGGGATGGTCACGTTGCAATCCCTTCTCCATTCTCCTCGCGGGATCTTGGGCACGCATGCACACGCGCCCGACGTGAGTTTTAAGCCACTGGGTCCGGGACACGAACCGCGGTCGACTACATGGGAGTCCAGCGACATAGCCATTACGCTAACTGCTGGTTCCCCCCCTTGTTTTTAAAAGAGAGATTTTTGCTATAGGGCGTTTGCGTTTGTTGGAGAGACAGAAAGTGAGAAATTACCCTCCGGGAGGATGGCCACGTCACAGTCCCTTCTGCTTTGTCTTTTGGGATCTTGGGCATGCATGTGCACACACACACACACACACACACACACACACACACACACACGCACCCAGCATAAGTTTTAAGTCATCGAGTCTGGGACTTGAACTGTGGTCGACTACCACTGTGCTATCTGCTGGTGATAAAAACTGACACAGACCAGGAAACACAAACAGAAAGTAAGGAGGGGGAGGAAAGATGGAAAGAAAGACCCACTAACTTATTACTGAAGCATAGAGTATAGTCCGCAGTTTGTCTTTATTTAAGGAAAAGCAATAGGCCTATGCAAGGAATAGTTTGCATATCCATGCACTTAGTAGAGCTACCCTAAGAGAAAGGTGAGTTATTGAATATAGTTGTACTATAATAAAAATATCATTTTGGTAAGATTAAACAGCAACTGTATCAAAATGTACTTGATTGGGGAAGAAAGAAGGATAATAAAACGTGAGGTCTTCACTAATTGAGACATAAGGTGATGAAAGCCTAGATCAGGGTAATGATTGTGGAAACAGAAGGATTTAATTTTAAATCATTTTGCAAGAACACAATGTATGATTTGCTAGCCAACTAAATACAAAGCTATGGGAATGAAAAAAGTAAGGAACACGATACCCTCTAGGCACAGAGCAGACACTAAAGGGAAACTTGTAAAGTTAAATAATGATTCCAAAATTATAAACCTGAAAAAGATAAATCTTAATATAATTCAAAGTACAGAGTTCAATATTGTTTATGTGGTTCTTTTACATTTGAGGTTCTAACTGACTTAATGCATTTATTGGATTAATGCACTTAAAATCTTATATATTTTTCATTCTTGATTAATATTTCTTTGATTGCATCTTCTCATTTTATTATACTATTCTTATGAACTTCATGTCAGAAACTGGTTGGCTACCACACGGTCTCTACCTTGTATCTACCTGAATCTACAATTTGCTATGTCTTTTCTTCCATGCATCTTCCACATGTAATCAACCATTTTTGCCTTTCTTTTCTGCCATACAACACTCCCCCCCCACACACACTTTCTTACTAAGAGTTGGATTCGTCATTGGAAACCTTCTTGGTCATCAATCTCTTTCTTTTCTACCTCCAACTCAGCATGATGCCCAACTCTTCCTACACCAATGGACTACATTAAAATTAAAGCAGGGCAGTTGCATGTGTGCTCATGCGCACGTGTGTGAGTACATGGTGTTTTTAGACAGAGTCTCAATACGCTGCAATCCTCCTGCCTTAGCCTCCCTATAGTAGCTGAGACTCAGGCAGGTGCCACTGTGAGCTGGGCCAGGAACCAAATCCATGTGGCCTCAGCCTGCCATGAAGCAGTGTCCCGCAACTATGGCTGAGCCTTTCCTGCCTGTGATTCTCCAATCTCTTTAACGATGAGAGAATTAAGCAGTACCTTTAATAACATAAATACAAGAAAAGACAGTCCATATTTTTGATGGTTACTATGTATCTTATCATATTTCAATACTATGAGTTCTAATTCATGTTACTGACTCTTAAAAAAGCAGAAAGTTAGAAAATATGCTATTCATGCAGATTAGATTAGACCTTTTAAATAAAAAAAAAAGTAAAGAAAAACGCTTACCAAAAATTTCTCCATTTTTAGCATATTCTGTCACAAGGTACAGCATACTTTTGGTTTCCATGACCTGTTGACAAATAATTTCATATTTATCTGATAAGAAAGGACTGAAATTTACCACAGCAATGTATGAGGTTACCTAAATTAAAATTACTAATGAGAGAATCAGAGTTATGAAGAATTCAGAAGCTGACTAAGCTAACAAGCCTGACAGTATCTTTATGCTACTATTTGTATGAAAAGTTGAGATCCTTGTCTCGAGTGTGGGCCATAGACCACCAGTAGCAGCACTGCTAAGTGCCTGTTCCTCCAACTCAGCATGATGCCCAACTCTTCCTACACCAATGGACTACATTAAAATTAAAGCAGGGCAGTTGCATGTGTGCTCATGCGCACGTGTGTGAGTACATGGTGTTTTTAGACAGAGTCTCAATACGCTGCAATCCTCCTGCCTTAGCCTCCCTATAGTAGCTGAGACTCAGGCAGGTGCCACTGTGAGCTGGGCCAGGAACCAAATCCATGTGGCCTCAGCCTGCCATGAAGCAGTGTCCCGCAACTATGGCTGAGCCTTTCCTGCCTGTGATTCTCCAATCTCTTTAACGATGAGAGAATTAAGCAGTACCTTTAATAACATAAATACAAGAAAAGACAGTCCATATTTTTGATGGTTACTATGTATCTTATCATATTTCAATACTATGAGTTCTAATTCATGTTACTGACTCTTAAAAAAGCAGAAAGTTAGAAAATATGCTATTCATGCAGATTAGATTAGACCTTTTAAATAAAAAAAAAAGTAAAGAAAAACGCTTACCAAAAATTTCTCCATTTTTAGCATATTCTGTCACAAGGTACAGCATACTTTTGGTTTCCATGACCTGTTGACAAATAATTTCATATTTATCTGATAAGAAAGGACTGAAATTTACCACAGCAATGTATGAGGTTACCTAAATTAAAATTACTAATGAGAGAATCAGAGTTATGAAGAATTCAGAAGCTGACTAAGCTAACAAGCCTGACAGTATCTTTATGCTACTATTTGTATGAAAAGTTGAGATCCTTGTCTCGAGTGTGGGCCATAGACCACCAGTAGCAGCACTGCTAAGTGCCTGTTAGAAATGCAGACTCTCAGGCCCCACCCAGACCTACTGAATTAGAATTTATGATTCAGCAAAATCACCAGGCGATTTTATGCATAATAACGTTTGAAAAGTACTACCATAGGCAATAGGAGTTTGGAAGATTTACTTTCAACACCTCCTCACTGACTTTCCTAGCTCTGTGTTCTCATGGTAGACCCTAATTCAGAAAAGAATAATAAAAGAGGAAAACTTGGCTTATCTGACTTATGGCGTAGGTAACCTGGCACAGTCATATTTATCCTACTGTTCTTTAGCGTAGTTACAAAGTACTATAATTTTAAAACATTGATCAAAAGTTTCTTCTTCATAGCTCTATGACATACTTTCATTTAAGCTTATTTTCTAGAAAAAAGTAGGAAATAACTGTCACAAATGTGATTTTTTCAAACCATACTGAAGTGGTCTCTCTTTATAAAGAAAATAGATTCTAATAAAAAATTTCGAAGAAAGCAAATCACTCAAAAATGAGTGATTTTTTTTAGATTGTTTCTCTGAAATATTCCTTAACTACAATCGGCTGAAAACTTATTTTGCTCTAAAATGCAGGTCTGGGACTATTCTCCCTTATCCAGAAAACTAGGACCTACCTACAACTTAGGCCTAAACAAATCAAAAAAAAAAATTTTTTTTTTTAGTTGGGTATAGGACATGTGTGCTTGCCACAGGGAGGAAGAGAAGGAGAGAAGGAGAGAAGGAGAGAGGGAGAGAGAGATAGGGAAAGTAAGAAAGCATCCCCAGGAGGATGGCTGCACTACAATCCCTTCTTCTCTAGTCTCCTCTCAGGATTTAGGGCATGCATGCACATGCCTGGCCTGTTTCTCAAGCTGCTTGGTAGGGACTTGAACCACACAGTAGGCCATGTGGGATCTAGCCACCCTACCTACCATGCCACTGGGTGGCCGAGCAAATCAACTTTAACCAATAATTTAGTTCAAGTAAAGATAAAATTCTCATATGAATCATGGCACTTGTATTTTCACTTTAGCTTACGGTTCATTGAACACTTCTAAGAATATGATGAGCTTCTTGTAAGTATTTTCTTTAAGAATTAAAAGAAATCCTTTTTTGGGAAAGAGAATATTATAGAAATTTGGCCTAAGAGGGCTCTGTGGTTCTACAGTTTTAGAAAATATTCTGAGTGGCACATCACACTCTCTCATTCTCAGTAGGTATAGATAAACCAATGGTCTCCAAATTGTAAATTCCAATCAATAAGAACTGTTTAGTCAATACATGTGTATGTGTATGTGCATGAACATATAAATACACACATGTGCATGAACACAGATATACAAGTTATACACATCTGCCACTATATAAACACATTATGTATGCTATAAAGCACACCCAAGTTTATTATTTAAATGTGAATAATAAACATAACTAGAAGTCCTAATATTTTCTTATGCTCCCAAGAGCACTAGTGTTAAATCCATCTGAGCATATATAGCAGTAGCCAACTAGCTCTCTAAGAGGGAAAAAAAGGCTTGGATTTGTAAGCTGATTTCTGTGGTGTAAACACTACCATGATTACTGATTTTTAGTTACTAATGTGATTCTAATGGCTCAGTATACCATGGCTGCACACATCACTCTTTGGAGATAAAAGTTACAGGCTAACATACCAGGAAATTTCAGCTTAAAAAGGGTCTTCAAATAGAAAAATGCTACATATTAAGAATTAGAAATTTTAAAAATGTTGTATACAAGAGTACTTCAAAAAGTCTGTGGAAAAATGAAATTAGAGTACAAACCTATTTTTTTTTTTGAGAGATTTTCACTGTAGGGCGCGTGTGCTCGCCAGACAGACAGAGAGAGACATAGAGACAGAAAGCGAGAAATCACCCCCCAGGGGGGATGGTCACGCCGCAATCCCTTCTCCTCCATGCTCCTCTCGGGATCTTGGGCACGCACGCACATGTGCCCGGTGTGAGTTTTAAGCCCCCGGGTCCGGGACATGAACCACGGTTGACTACGTGGGAGTCCAGCGACATAGCCATCACGCTAACTGCTGGTTCCCAGTAAAAACCAATTTTTGAAAAAAAAAAAAAAAAAAAAATGAGGACCAGTTTGTGGCCTGGTGGTTAAGGGGGCTAGTGGGCCAGGTGGCTCAAGTCTCAGACCCGGAAGCTTGAAAAACACACTGGGAATGTATGTGTATATGCCTAAAATCCTGAAAGGAGGGAGAAATGAAGATGGGATGGTGGTGTGACTATGTCTTATAGAGGGGTGTTCTCCTTTTCCCTCTCTCTGTCTCTGTCTTTCTGTGGTGAGTGCACCCAGCCTCTGGTAAGTGCACATAGGCTCTGGCAAATAACATTTTTTTGAAGGACTGGCCCTGGAGCACAGTAGTAGGCACAGTGCAGAGCAAGACAGATATCCATATGGCCAACTATGGTTTGAGTCCAAGCTCTGTTGGCCTGAAGAATACACTGGGTACATGTGTGCATGCTCAGGAGCCTAAGGGGATGGAGAATGGGAAGAAAAACAATTGTGGCATGACCAGACCCATTGGTCTGGTGCTGTCTCTGCACCATCTCCCACCAATCTCAGCACCCATGAACATCATATGACCTCAGGCATATAAAAAAACAATATTTGAAATGCATACATAATCCATACACAGTGTTTTTGTATTTTCTTTAAAGACTCCTTATATAAATTTTGTTTGTTTTTAGGTTTTTGCCATCAGGTGCATGTACTTGTCAGAGAGGGACAGAGAGATGGACAGTGAGAAATCATCCAAGGGGATGGCCACACCACAATCCCTTCTCCTTCAATCTCCTCTTGGGATTGTGAGCACACATGCACATGCACCCAGCATGATTTTTTAAGCTGATAGTTCCAGGACTTGAACTGTGGTCGGCCATGTGGGAAGCTAGCACCTCAGCCACTATGCCACCTGCTGGTCCCTGTATTACCATTCTTAAATGTGAATGATTTAAAAATCTGAGAAAAGGTTCTTTGTTAAAAAATCTCATGCACTTAAATTAGTGTCATTTATTTTACAAATGTTATCTTAATCAGTTTTCTTAAAAATGGCTCATTAACCTGATAAAATAAGCCAAAAAAAAAAAAAGACTTGGCTCTAGGTATTATAAAGTATGCCACTAAGTAATATATTATTTTAGTTTTTATATTTCATAAAATATAAATATGATGCTTTATAAAAACAAACAAACAAAAAAACTACCATATCTTCATTTCTGGTAAACTACCACCAAAACTCAGCAGGTTTAAGAAGGGTATCACACAGGACCAGCAGTTAGCGTAATGGCTAAGTCGCTGGACCCCCATGTAGTCGACTGCGGTTCGAGTCCTGGACCCGGTGGCTTAAACTCACGCCGGGCGCGTGTGTGTGCGTGCTCAAGATCCCGAGAGGAGAATGGAGGAGAAGGGATTGCAGTGTGGCCATCCCCCCTGGGGGGTGATTTCTCGCTTTCTCGCTTTCTGTCTCTCTGGCAAGCCGAACCAAAAAAAAAAAAACCCCTCAAAAAAAAAAAAAAAAAAAAAAAAAAAAGGATATCACAAATGTACAATTGCAAACTTTCAAAGTAAAATAACATACAGTCTGAGAGACCACTTAAAATCAAGCTACTAGTTACCGATTGCTAATTTTTTTTTCTTTTTTGTTATTTCCTTTATTTTATTTATCATTATATTTTCAATTTGACCAGAGTGGCACACACACACACACACACACGCAGAAAGAGAGAGAGAGAAAGCCACCTGGTCTGGGTCTTGAACTGTGGTTAGCCATGTGGGAGTCCTGTATCCCTAACCACCATACCATCTGCTGGCCTCTGATTGCTAAATTTTTAATTCAAAGATAATACAGAGAAAAAGGGATATACTCAGTTTAACAAAACATACATTTATCCTTCTTTTACAGATTAGAAAAATATAAGAAGAAAAATCATGATATAAATTTAAAAAGTGAATGAGGAAATTGTGGAGAGCTGTAAGGCTAAGTCTTACCTGATAAAGTTTGATAATGTGAGGATGATCTAGCATTTTCATTATTTGTACTTCTCGGTAGATTTTCTCAAGGTTCACTGCATCCAGCTGAGATTTATCTATTATTTTTATTGCCACCTGCATCCAAGAACACAAATAAAATTAGTATACAACAGTTGTTAACATTTTCCAGTTAAGAATCTTTTTAGGGCCAGCCCCTGTAGGCTAGTGGCTAAAAAAGCGAGATTCCACCTGACCGTTCAGCTCAAATCTTGGTCTCAGTGGTTTGAAAAATCACACCAAGTGCATGTGTGTGCATTCCCCAAATCCTCAAAGCATGGAAAAATGAAGAAGAAATTGTGGCACAATCATATTCTATGCCCCCCCACCCCCCAAAGAAGTGTATGTGCCCTCTGGCAAAATTAGAAAGGGAAAAAAAAAAGACTCCTCTTTTTTTCCCTTTTTTTAAGAGAAAGAGATTTTTGCTATAGGGTATATGTCACATCATAATCCCTTCTCCTCCATTCTCCTCTCAGGATTTCGGGCACACATACATACACATGCACATGGCATGAGTTTAAGCTGTCAGGTCTGGGACTTGAACCGCAGTCGACTCATGGGAGTCCAGTGACATAACCATAACACCATTTGCTGGTCCCAAAAAGTGTTACACTTTGACTGCTAGAGAAGTAGACCAAGTAAGTATTGTACTTGCTATTAGAGATATTATTAGACTAATTCAAATCTAAACACCTTAAAGAGAGAGAATCTTGTACTATCAGTTACTTGGGCAGAGTAATCGTACAATACCCTTGCGGTCACTGATAGACTGCGCATACGATAGTGGCTCTGTAAGATTATAACAGGCTATATCATACAGCGTAGGTATGTAGTAGACTGACAATTTAGGTTGGTTTAAGTACACTCTGATGTTCTCACAACAACAGAATCATCTAAAAATACATTTCTCAGAACTTATCACTATCATTAGGCAATGCATGACTGGACTTGAATTTCCTCCGTATTCCTTAGGAAGGTAACATGGAGTTTCAGAGATGTGCGTATTTTGAAGAAACTATCATCCCTAAAATTTTTAGAATTAGTCTAGATACAAGAATTTCCCTCCCCAACAAGAGATGGATCACAACCATATAATAAATAGAAAAGAATTGGAGAAAGGCACCATTGTTTTTTAAAAAAACTCAGCATGAGGGCTAGTCGGTGCCACAGTGGCAAACCACATGGAATTTAGGACCCACATGGGAAGGTCCTAAATTTGATTTTTTAGGCATCCCTGTGCATGCTAGGTACACAAAATAGTGCATATATGCCAAAGATCTGGGCTGGCTGGGAATGGATTACGGCATGAAGTCTGTAATCGAGAACGAGATGCCTGTATCCCGTTCTCTTTCTTTTTCCTGTCGCCTTCTTGTTCATTGAAGAAACAAACCAACTAAAAAAAAAAACCATAATGAACAAAACCTCAGTATGGGTCCAGTCACAGAGGCATACTGAGATACTGTGCTCCATGGGCTGGGACCACATGAAAGGTCTGAGTTTGATTCCTGGTCCAACCTAAAAGCCAGGTGTGGTGGCACGTGCATATAACCCCAGCAAAAGCAGGAAGATTATGAACTGGAAGTTGGCCTGGACAACACAATGAGACCCTGCCTAAGAAAGAAGACTGCCTAAAGAACAAAAAAAGTTGGCTCTGTAATGCAGTGGTAATGTGCTGCTCAGGAGAGCTGGATCCCACCTGGCAACCAGGTTTGAATCCCCGAGCCATTCGACCTGAGCCATTAGGCCTGAAATGTGCCAGGAACATACTTGAGCACCCAGGATCAGACTGGCTGAAAGACTAGAGCATGGGGATCACAGCACAATCAGATTCTGTAAAGGGTGCTCATCTCTCTCTCTCTCTCTCTCTCAAGTGCATGTATATATGCTCCACCATGAAGAAAGAAATCAAATTAAAACAAAACACTCAGCATGACTTAGTCATATCGTATATAGCTAGACTATCACATTTAATGTTAAAGAAATGGTTTGGTAAAACTGTTTCTAAGCAAGGTATTGCCTGACCTTAGTATGAACAATGAGAGTGAAAAATGTCTTTAAATACTGTATAAAAATTATCTAATGAAAATTTCATATTATGAAAATTATAACTTCATTATTTAGTTTCTCTCTTCTCTTCAATTTTGAGTCATAGGCTATAAACACACACAGAACCGCAAATCTATGTATTTCACCTTTACGTTGTCTACCTTGAGACATCCTTTTTACACTCTCTGCTATAAAAGGATTATACTTCCTTAAAGTAAAAGTAGAGCATGCTTGATCCTAATAATATCCTTGTAAAGTTAGGGAGGGCCTGACTGCTTTAACAAGTAGACCCCAAGATATGTAATGATTCAAGTACAACAGAAGTTTCTTTCTTGCTCACACAGCAGAACTGGATGACTGAGGTTTTCTGGCAGGCATACAAGCTACAATCAGGCTTTACTATCTTTAATATGTGGCTTCCAAGGTTACTCTGAAAGCTGCCTCCATCCAACCAGACAGAAAGAGAAAACAAGACCTTTCTGGGAGGCTTTCTATGGGCCAGGCCTGAAGTGGTGCCTACAATTCCTGCTCATCTCATTAACTGGAACTCAGTCATGTGACCACACCTGCGTGTAAGGGAAGCACAGAAACAGGCCGATTTTTAGGCCCAGAAAGAGGAGGAAGGAGTGGGTGTTTGGTGACCAACTAGCAGTCTGTGAACAATCTTTGAGGTAATTTCTTAACAATGGAACTCTACCAAGTAGCTCCCAGAAATATAACAATTATGATGATGACATTCATACTGCACAGGACTCTCCATTTTACAAGATAACTTTAACATTTTATCTAATTTATTTCCCAATTCCATGGAGTAAGTGGAACAAACAGCATATCTATGAGTTATTGGAGCTAAGGTTCAAGGTTCAAAAGATGTCATGTAATCTACCAAAGCCCTAAACCGGTACTGAATTAATGGGTAAAAAAAATTCTGTTTTTTTTTTAACTCTAACTTCAGTCTTTTCACTAATTCAGTCTGTTATACATTTACTGAGCGCTTGTTCTATGCCATGAATTTTGCTTGGACTATAAAAATGAATGAGATGTGATTCTTACTCTCCAGAAACTTAGTGGGTTTGTAAGAATAAAATGACCAAGTTTTTTCAACAAAAAAATCCCTGTTAGGCATTTGCCCAATGCTATACTGAAAGTCTGCAACATAGAAATGTTTATACCAATGTTAAATAAAAAGCAGTATATATGAAAGTAACAACTATATAAAATACAAATTTATGAGGATAAGGAATTAAATGTAAGAACATAAAAGCTAAATAAAAGAAAAAATTTTGTATTTCAAATTATAATTTAAATAATATTATTCTTTCCTTTTTCTATTTTTAGGAAAATATTATTTCACTTCTCATAAAGGAAATATTAATCTTACACATTAAAAGAAACCATTTAGGGGACCAGCGGATGGTATGGTAGTTATGTTGCTAGACTCTCATGTAGTAGGCTGTGGTTCAAGTCCTGGTGGTAGCTTAGAACTCACACTGGGTGTGTGCAAGTGTGCCCAAAACCCTGAGAGGAGAATGGAGGAGAAGGAATTGTGGCATGGCCATACCCTTTGAGGGATGATTTTTTGCTTTCTGTCTCTTCAGTGAGCTCCCACGCCCTATAGGGAAAATCTCTCTTAAAAAAAGTAAAAGGGACCAGCAAATGGTGTAACGCTTACGTTGCTGGACTCGCATGTGGTCAACCGCAGTTTGAATCCTAGACCCTGAAACTTAAAATGCATGTCGGGTGTGTGTGTGTGTGTGTGTGTGTGTGCACACGCGCACGTGTGTGTGCCCCAAATCTGGAGAGAATGGAGGAGAAAGGATTGTGGCATGGCATGGCCATACCTCCAGAGGTGATTTCTTGCTTTCTGTCTCTCTCTCTCCCAGGCGAACACATGCGCCCTATAGCAAAAGAAACCATATATACAAAAGTAGCTTTTGGGAACTTTGTAAAAAGAAGTTACTTAATTATAAGAGCTATTCTATTCATAAAAAATCAGAAGGGATTAACATCTATACGTTGTCTCAGATAATAGTTGTTTCAGAGCCATTTTCTACTGTTAGGTCGTTAACCCAATAATATGGTAATTCTACTGTCCTTCTGGAGTACAACATTACTTTTACTATAAAAGTAGATCTTTGAAATTAAAAAAATAAGACTAGTCAAGCTTCTGCCTCAAATCATTGTTGGAATTACAACAGACCAGCCTGTCATTTGATTGAATCGTTAGTGGTCTATAATGAAATCTATGTCTATTTAATTAATTAATTAATTAATTTTTTGAGAGGTTTTTGCCATAGGGTGCATGCACTTGCCAGACAGAGAGAGAGACAGAGAAACAGAGAGACAGAAAGCGAGAAATCACTCCCCAGGGGGGATGGCCACGCTGCAGTCCCTTCTCTTCCACTCTCCTCTCGGGATCTTGGGCACACATGAACACGCACATGCGC